GCTACTGTGGAAAGTGGTCAATTTCTCACTGAGGCCTGGTGTTGTGGTACTGTCGGGTAATATTGTTGTTTCCACTGAGCCTGAACTGATGGCTGAGGTTGTAGATTCTCCAACAGGAGCTGAGACCATGGAGCGGGTGGGTAAGAATGTGGTTTCCATTGCGTCTGGGCTGCTGTGGGATGCTGTTGATTCCTTACTATGGCCTGAGGTTGTGGAGCTGTCAGGAAAGTGTGTTGTTGCAGTTGAGCCCGGGCTGCTGACGGCGGTAGTAGACTCTTCAACAAGGGTAGTTGTGGTGCTGGGAGGTGAAGGTGCTGTGTGAGTTGAGCCTGGGTGGGTTTGGAAGGTGGTAAATTCTCCCTGAAGGCCTGGGCTTGTGGAGCTGGCAGAGGACAGTGTTGTGTGTCGTGATCCAGTGCTGCTGTGGATGGGTGTAGAGGCTTCATCGAGGCCTGAGGTTGTGGTGTTTTCAGGTGAGACTGTGGTTTCAGTGGAGCCTGGGCTGCTGGGGAAGGTTGTAAAATCTTGATCAAGGGATGAGGCAGTGCTGTGTCTGTTGAACTTTGGCTGCTGTGGGAAGTTGTAGGTTCCTGACTGAGGCCTGACATGGTGGTGCTGTCGGAGAAGGCTGTTGTGTGCTTTGAGCCTGGTTGACTAAGGGATGTGCTGGATTCTTCACTGACGCCTGAGCTTGTTGTGGTTGCAGGTGAGAGTGTTGCATCTGGTGATCTGGGGCTAGTGTAGAAGGTGGTAGATTTCTCACTGAGGCTTGGTGATGTGGTAATGCCAGGTAAAGCTGTTGTTGTATCAGTTGAGGTTGGACTCATGGGTGAGGTTGTAGATTGTCCAACAAGGCCTGAGGTTGTGGAGCGGGCAGGTGGGAGGGTTGTTGCACTTGAGCCTGAGGTGTTGGGGAAGGTTGTTGGTTCCTCACCGAGGTCTGTGGTTGTGAGGGTGGCAGGTAACACCGTTTGGGTGGAGACAAGGCTGCCGGGGAGGGCTGTAGATTGCTCAGTGAGTCCCAAGTTGGTGGTGTCCTCAGTGAACAGTGTTGTGTGAGTTGAGGCTGGCCGGTTGTGGATGGTTGTGGATTCTTCCCCACGAATTGAGGTTGTGCTGCTGCGAGGGGACACAGTGGTTTCAGTTGAGCCTGGGCTGCTGTAGATGGTGGTAGATTCCTCACTGAGGCCTGGCGTGGTGGTGCTGGCCGGTGACACTGTTGAGTGAGTTGAGCCTGGTTGGCTATGGGATGTGATGGATTCTTCACTGACGCCTAGATTTGTCGTGCTGACAGGTGTAAGTGTTGTGGTCGGTGATCTGGAGCTACTGTGTAAGGTGGTAGATGTCTCTCTGAGGCCTGTTGTTGTGGTACTGCCAGGTAACATTGTTATTTCAGCTGTGCCTGGACTGATGGGTGAGATTGTAGATTCTCCATGACCTGAGGCTGTGGAATGGGTGGGTGAGGGTTTTGTTCCAGTTGCATCTGGGCTGCTGTGGAATACTGTTGATTCCTCACTACGGCCCAAGCTTGTGGAGCTGACGGAAAAGTGGGTTGTTGGAGTTGAGCTCGGGCTTCTATGGTAGGATGTAGATACATCAAGAAAGGCTGATGTGGTAGTAGGAGGTGCAGGCGTAGTGTCATTTGAGCTTGACCATCTCGCGAGGGTGGTAGCTTCCCCCTGCCGGGTTGTAGACCCGACAGGGGACAGTGTTGTGTGTGGTGAGCCAGTCCTGCTGTGGACGGGCGTAGATGCTTCAACGAGGCCTGAGGTTGTGGTGTTGTCAGGGAAGAGTGTGGTGTGAGTGAAGCCTGGGCTG